GCCTGAGACCGTTTCGGGGGAGATGCGGACGCAAGGTCAGAGGAGAACCGCGAGGGCGCGGGAGAACGCGCCCGCAGACCCCGGGGCGCTCGGCTCGACGGGCCTCGGCGGATGGGGCGGGGGCCGCGGGAGGTCTGGAGGGCTGAGGCTCCCCGGGACGTCGGGGTTGAGTCTGCACCGCGAGCGTGTTCTCACCGCCTGCCGTCCGTCTTGCGTCCAGCGCTAAGGCAGGCGAAAACACCGGAAAACCGTGGAACGGACCAAAGACGGTGTTTTGTCTTTCATACTTACAACAGTATTTTAAGCTTCGACGTTGTAATCTTGTACTCAAGTCCATATGCAGCGTGACTTCGCTTTCTGGGCTCCGTGCTAGCTTGCCTTTCGTATCGTGTATGGAAAGTAATGCTTCTTAGCTCGTCTCATTTTCAAGTTGAAATAGGGTCCTAGTTGACATTTACTCAGGATCCAGCGGCGTCTCAGATATTCTTAAATTAACTGCAACTTCCTGAAACATCTTCAAGACCCATCCACGGCTGGTCAGAACACATACAATCAGGCCGCTTCCAATTTTATAAAATTTTATGTAAATAGGCAGAGTTGGGAAAATACACATTTTGAAGCAAAAATCTGCATCCAAAATAAAAACATAGTGTTGGACGTTTTACCAGGCTCATTTATTCTCCACTGCAGAAAGATCGTGGTACCTCAATTCTGTTTTTTGTTTAATAAAATTAGTTACAATACAGTTTACTTACAAACTATTCACGTATAAAATGTGGGTCAATTACTCTGAGAAGCCATGATATTTTTATTTTTAGTTATCTTTTATAGAAACAGGCTGGTCTCAAATTCCTGCTGCCAACGAGCCTCACTTCACGATACACAAATGGTGAGATGTTACATGAGTAACATAAAGGTAGAGAAGAGCTCTACGCACGACAAAGAATTGGGAAGGGAAGGCATGCTTAGGCAGTATTTTAACAGAAAGACTCGAGGATAAGACCGCTAATGTCAGACTGAAGTCTAGTGAGGCTGGCGATCGCATGTGGGTGGATGCTGGGATGAAAATGAAGGGTGCAATAGTGTTCGGTGCGGACAGAACAGAAATGCTGTCGGTCGTTAATCCTTGGGTATCTGCCAGAGTAATTACCTAACCCTGAAGACTGTGAGAGACGAAATT